GCACTGCGGCTATTTTGCACAGCAGCTACACAAAGCAAAAAGCATACGCAGCAGCACACTTCCAGCATAGGACATACATACATACATATACACACTTGTATATGTATGTAGGTATGAATGTTTGCGCTGCAGATGTACTGTACCTTTAGGGGCTAGGCATCCCGAACGCTGCGTCATTGCCACAAGAGCCACCACACCAGGTGCTTTGCCCTGTTGGTAACCCTAATATGTTGGGATGCCTGCTAGACGCAGCAAACACTTCGATGTACACACACAGGAGAGGTGGATTGTGGCAGCTGCAAGACAGACGGCTGCATAGAAAATCAGAGACAGCCGGAGCTGCGTGGCCAGCCAACTCTGACTGGTGACCGGACAAGTGAGATTTCTATCTAAATTGATGCGTTTTTCCATGCTTTTGATGAGTCCAATTAAATTAATTACCGGGTATTAGATAATCCAATGGATACGACCGAGCGAAGCAAATACAGCGTGGCATATATGTATGTATAGTTTAGTGCACCATAAGTCCACATCAAAAGGAATGTACATAGTTCGGATGGTGGAGTTTATCTGCGTGTAACTACTATTACATGGTGCGCCCAACTTGTATTTTCTTGTATTTTTCCTTTTTTTCCACTAGCCCACCGTCAACGCACAACTGAGTATTTGAATGTGCATTGTGTGTAAAGGGTGTGGCGCAGAAAGTGGACATTCAGCACTTTTTTTTAGTTTCAGCCACTGCGTAAATATGTAGGCACGAAGGTATCACACAATGGCCTTTATGTACTGAAATCTTTCTATATACTTCAAAGTACATACATACGTATGTACTAAATAAATATGTCTGTGTAAACTTGTTCCCGAGGGCGTACGTTGTAGTGGGCGCGAGCGCCCGCATGTAACAAAGTTGCCGTACATCAACGATAAGCAATTTTGTATTGTTGTAGATTGATTAAGTTAATTGAAATTCACACAAAGCCACTCAGCAGCTGAAATGCTGGCCAACTAGTTAATTGCTGCACAAGCCGAGCGAAAAACTAAAATGTTTGCATCAGAAAATAAACTGTAATACAGCTTTAGTATAGAATATTTGTTATAAGTGCTTAGCATTCATGAGCTACTGACTTCGATAAAAATGAATGTACTTATGTATTTACAATAAATATACAATCTTCCGTTTTTGAGCATTGTGATTGCATTACCTCCCAAAGGTAAGCTAAAGAAATAAAAACCGTTATTCGTAATAAAAAAAGAAAAAAAAAAGAGTTGCCACCTGTTTGAAAATTGCAGTTCAGGTACATTAAGTATTCCAATATGGCTGATAAAGAAAGAGGTTTGAAAAGACTTACAGCTGAATATATTTTTGTGGGAGATTGCTACCTGTTTGGAAGGTTTAATTTAACTTAATTGATAAGACAAATTAAATATCACATTGGTTTAGGAAAGTTTATTGGCAAAAATATTTGTAAGGAGGGTTGTCACCAGTTTGTTATCACCGACGATGACGAAAGGAAAGAATAAAATATAGACGAGTAACCAGCTGGACATTTGATGAGGAGACGCCAGTTTACATTATTTAATTTCGATTTTATGTACATAAATGGTAACGTTATTTTAAATACTTTCAAGGTAATCTTCGCCGACTCGAAGTAGTCTCCCCTTATTTTTGTATAAAGAATGTTGCATGCAAGATTGCCAAACTTCATTTATAAATGATGAACCTTAACAATAAAGAAACACAGGAGCTTCTTATTAGTTAAGCTTTCTTGTTGGAGTCCTATGTTGAAGCTTTTATGCTCATAACGAGCTCAATTAAGAGTGTCTTGGCCGGATGGTGCTACGCCCATTTAAAAAAAAAAAAACTTTCCTAACTGTCTTTTTGTATGCCAAAATTCAACTTCGCGTACCAACTTTCAACAATTTGGATCCAGTATTTACGGAAATACCGTTATATGGTAGGTGGGCGTGGTTATTTTCTAATGTCTCCCCTTTGTAATCCCAACCTACCATGAATAAAGGGAAACTTACCTATCAACTTTCGTGGACATATCTCAATTTTTTTCTCGAGTTATCGTGTACCCAGACAGACAGAAGGATTGATGGACGATTTCTCTTTTCATTCTGAGCATTTATGTACAAATTTGTCTATATCTATTTCGATTCAGTTTGGCTGTTACAAATAACCGTTATGAGTTGTGCACAAGTGTGCTCGGATAAAAAAATTTTGCCTGCGCCAGGACTTGAACCTGGGATCTCGGGCAAACCACGCGAGTTCTTTGCTCTGTCGGCCATTGCGAATGTTGGAGCGCCGCAAGTGAATTGGCTGACTATCTCATCAACTGGTATGATGATACTAGTATTTCTACTAACAGAAGTTGATGCGTAGCCTGACAATTGCCATCTCGTAGGACATCGCAATGTTAAAAATATCGGTCGCTAACATTTAAAAAGTAGTTGGGCTGAAACGCAAAACTGGTAGAATGCTTGTTAACAACTAGTAGCTTTCCCTGCAGGGTAAATACACATACGAGAACATATACCGAAATATTTTACCTCATACAAGTATTTATTCGCACATTTACCTCTAAAAAAAACTGCAGCTCTACGAACACTCCACTGCGTATGAGTAACTCAAGTGTGAACTTTTGATTTTCATACACTCACTTAAGCACTTTCATACAATTTTTCCATCAAAACTTAGGCATATATACATAGAAAACGAATAAAAGCAAATTTGAAAATCTCTGATTGCCACCTATGTTTGCAGGCAGGTAGATGGCCTTGGTCCTCTCTCGACGTACGAAAACCGCGCTCTATAAGTCACTCATCATGCCCGTGCTGGTATATGGCGCAGAAGCATGGACAATGACAACATCCGATGAGGCGGCTCTTGGGGTGTTTGAGAGAAAGATTTTGCGGAAGATTTACGGTCCTTTACGCGTTGGCGACGGCGAGTACCGCAGACGATGGAACGATGAGCTGTATGAGCTTTACAACGATATGGACATAGTGCAGCGAATTAAAATACAGCGGCTCCGCTGGCTTGGCCATGTCGTTCGAATGGACACCGACGCTCCAGCTCTGAAAGTATTCAACTCGGAACCCGCTGGTGGTAGCAGAGGAAGAGGGAGGCCCCCACTGCGATGGAAAGATCAGGTGGAGAAGGACTTGGCTTCACTTGGCGTTTCCAATTGGCGTCAGTTGGCACAGAGGAGAAACGACTGGCGTGCTTTGCTGAACTCGGCCAAAATCGCTTAGGCGGTTACAGCGCCAAAAAAAGAAAAAAAGAAAGAAGAAGATGGCCTTGGTCCGCACTTTTCGCACACTTAAAAGGAACCATAAATTTCTAACTAAATAATTTTCGCATAATTTTTATGCAAATGGAGACTCCTTTTAAGACTTTGGTCCTAGCCTGCTGCATAACTTGTAATTAACGTTTCCTTCCTCGCACAAATAGCCTTTGCGGTCAGTGTGCCCACAGAGCCTTTTTTTTTGCACAGTCAGCTATCTAAACGTCTGTATGTACTCTTGTGCACCGAAAGCACTTCTCACCTGCTGCGCACTTGAACCGGTTCGTTTGACCGCAAAGTAAACCGTGCTTGCTTGCTGGCTGCACAGGTGGTGTATTAATTTAATTTTTCATGAGCTCCGCAAAACTTTCACTTGTTTGTTTTTTTTTTTTTTGCATCAAAACAAGAACAAAAGCAAAATGCGAAAACAAACTAAGTAGGTAGAAGAACTTGTAAAAAAAAATATATATTTGCAATACTGTGTACGTAGCTATAACAAATGAAACAAGCAATCCAGTTACTGGCGGAGAAAGCTTTTAAAGTTAGTAACTATATACATATTTGTTTATATCGTTGGTGGCAGGCCAACTGCCGCGTCGCACAGAGGCGATAAGTCAGCGTACGCAAATGCACAAGCAGCAAAATAGGCATTGCCATTTGGAGCGTAGTTAATGTGAAACGTGAGAAGTTTTGCGTAAATTTGCGTCGATCTGTGCGACTCTGAACGAAGTTGATACGGTTTGGGGTGCTTGTGGGCGGCTGGCTACCAAAGAAGGCGGAATTGTGCGAATAATAAAGTTTTGCGCTTAAGTGAATGCTGCTAATTACTTGCAGTTAAGATATTTATTTTCGAGAGCAGTTCGCTCAGAAGTGGTGTAAACACGAGTTTCGTTCTTCTTTGAGAACGCTAAAGAGGCGTCAAGAGTTGCAAAATTTTATTTGGCCAACGGCGACGGTGGTTAGTTTGGTCAACTTGATTTTAGTTGAACTGCAGCTATCTGGTGGGGCAGTAGTCAGCGGTAATTAATATTTGTTTATAATTATACTAGCTATGTGCATACACGCGCATGTATGAATAACTGTGTGTGAATAAATTCCAAACTATCACTGACTCAGCTTCATTTGAGAGTTTTGAAGAGTCATAGTTTAATTACTGAAAACTTGGTTGCCAGTTTTAAGCGAGAAACGCATGTTGCTTACTAGTAGTTTATTTATGAAAAAATTTTAATAATTACGATATGCTTGAAACTTTGCTTCATTTAAGTGTGCAAATTAGCTCTAAGGTAGAAAGACACATACATATATCTAAGTTTGAGTCCTAACTGGAAGCTTAACTTTAAGTATTTGTTAAATAAATTAATTATTTTCAACATTTCTTCTATGAAAGAAAGCATTTTGTTCCAAGTTTTACCAAGAGCTTAATTGCAGTAAAAAGTTCTCTTAAGTTTCAACTATAATATAAAGCATTTTGTTTTCTTTACAAAACTTTATTCAAATACTTAGAGAGAAAAACGTGTAAGTCTTTAAATTGTAAGTAAGTTTAACTATATATATACGAAACTACATGTATATTCTTAAATATATTTAGTATATGTATGCACATACTCATTTTCTATTTACTTAATACTGCTGATTCAGTGTAAAGAATTAATTTACCAACTTCGCACACATACGTACATATACTCACTTATTACATCAGACCATACTTACCGCATACTTTTGCGCACATCCTGCGGTTCAGGTGGCCGCGGTCGATGCCTACACACAACTACAATACCCGCCACGATAATTGACGTTACAATGACGGCGCCTATCGCCACAACGGCAGCCAATATGAGAAGTGTCGACTGTTGCTTATCATGTCCATGTGCAACGATGCTGGCACCCGCACCGCTGTCACTCGCACTGGCACTTAAGCCACCGCTTGAATGATGTGTAGTTTCCGCTGGTGTGGGATCCTCGGAGAGTATGGACTCGTCTGTCAATTGAATAATGAAAAACGAGAGAAACAACAGCACGAAAAAGGGAGAATTAGTATTGAGGTAAGCAAAAAATGAATTGGATGAAAGGAATTACGCGCACATTTGAACGAACGCATGAATGTACATAGGTATGTATGTACCTATTTTATGTATATACTAGGGATGCTTCGAATGTCGTATTTTTCACATTCGCCAATGTCAATACGAATGCGAATGCGAATGTTAGGAATAATATTAAAAAAGCTAAAGACAATCTACCGTTTTTATTACTTAAAAATTTTGTAAATTATTAGAATATTAAACGAACGCTTAACCTATACGGTGTCTTAATCTAGAAGTCAAAGTTCAAAAGAGGCATATTATATTAAAAAAAAAAATAATAATTTTGCTGCCTTTTCTCGCATGAGGCGATTTCTTAGAGGCTCGTACATAAGGCCGGCTGCATTGAACAATTGCGTACTTGGAACCACCAGTCGAGAGGATTTTCACAGAGATGAGCTCGTTTTTCTTTAAGATAGACTTTCAATTGAGCTTTAATTTCACATTTTTTAATGTCTAGTGATTTTACATCCGAGCATTCGCTTTCGCTTGAGGAATCTAAAATTATTTCTACGTTGCTTTTAAGACTTTTAGCAGTACTTGTTGAAGGCCCATCAATATTGCTTGATGCACTACTTAACTGTTTATCGCCTGCTTAGACAGACTTAGAGCCATTGCAACAATATTAGAGTTGTATCTCTGCCCATGTACATTAGTATTCGCAAAACATTCGTATTGTTTAATGTGCATGCGAATGTGTAAAATGATGCGAATCATTAGCATAACGAATGGGAATGCAAATATTCGCAACATCACTGGTACACATATATTATTCTGTACCATATTTACACCGTGCGGCAGTAAATTTTACACATAAAAAAATGAATATATTCGCGAAACTATGAGTAAATTATGGTAGAACTCCGTACTTAGTTTTTTTCTCCGACGTCAGGACTTTGAAATGTAAAAAATATGATTATTTCAAAAATAATATTTAAAAAGTTTTAATGCAATTTAGAATAACAATAGAGGTATCATATAAAAGAAATTCTTTTTTTAGAATTATAATAGAATACATTTTTTGGTGCACAAGGACGAATGGGTATGGAAAATTTACTGTGCAAATTGTGTCTTTAAATATCCTTGAAAATTTGCAAATATTTTTTTTTTTTAAATTATGGTTTGAGGACTAGTAAAGGCTCGACGTCATCATCGAATTTCGTACTGCAAACTTGACTAACAATAATTTTTTGAATTAATCATATCTTTAAAATTTCTAAGTTCTTTGAAAAAAAATCCTGACGTCAGAGTGAAAAACTTAAACGCACTTTTACTATATTTGGCCCATAGTTTCGTGTGTATATCAATTCTTTCGTGTGTTTTGATTTTTTTTTTTTGTTTTTCTCGCACGGTGTTTTCGTTCTCCTCCCCCAAAAAATTTAGGATGGGTACAAAAACAACTGTCCTAAAATTTTACGCCCTTTGGACCACGCCTTCCCTACCCGACTTACGTTTAAATTTTGATTTGCGTTAACTCATACCACACAGTGGTTAGGTAAATTTATTTCTTTAACTAGTTTATTGAAAATTATCTTTGTAAAGTTAGGTTATAGTGAACGATGCTCGTGAACACGTTCCAAAACGAATGTATGCCCCCTGACTCTCGTCTTTTGTTATAAGGCCATGATAATAACTTGCATTAATTTCACCGCTCTTTCGGCACTACTTTTCATTTCCCATCCTCATTTATTTGGATCACATTTCAAAAAGCTGGATCGACCTTCAGTCCTGAAAATAATCACGTATATCTTACCAACTAATTAAATAATCGTAAATACGCCAACGAAATATACCATATATACAACAAACCGTATATATACAAAAAAAAAAGTATTTCACATGAAGAAAATATATTCGTATAATTTCTGTAAAAAAAGTTAAAAACAAATGTTTTTATCATCGAATAAAAACACTTCCCTTTAGAAATATTAAAAAAACAAAATTATGGTGTATTATGGTGTAATGTGGTAACGAATGCAAAAAATTAAAAAAAATTAAAGAGATAAATACATATTCGCCATCCCATTTGTCTTTATAAAAGAAAAGTGTCTAAAAAAACCTTGATATTCATCTTTGCTTTTATCTTTCATATCTTCGTTTTTAATTTTATCTTTGCCTTTAACCTTTTCTTCATCTGCATATCCACCTTGATTATGTGAGGTGTGATGACGTGATAAGATATTGTGTGATGTGATGTCAGGTAATGCGTTGCGATTTTATGTGATTTCATGTAATGTGATGTGAAATGATCTCATGTATGTAAATGCTATATGAAGTCATATAAAGCCATATCATGTAATGTAATGTCATATCTTGTTATGCCACGTGATGTTAATGAGATATAATATCATGTCATGCCATTTTATGTCAAGTGATGTGATCTCAGGTCATATGATATCATGTCATTTGTAAGTAAAACTAGGTGTGGTGAGTTCATATATCGTTATCTTCATCCTCATATTCGTTTCTTTATGTTTACCTTTACCTTTATTTTTATCTTTTTGTTTATTCTTTTTACTCTTTTTATCTACAGATTCACCTTAACCTTTGCGCTTATATAAGTAGTGTTTAAATTTACCTCATTCAGAGGAAGTACATTTCGAAGAAATCTTCAATGACTTGAACATTGCTAGTAATAGTGATTTCGAAAGAAAGCCAAAATCGTTCGCAAATGAAGCATTAAATGATTTGGTTAGGGATCCAAAACTATCTTAAGATTCTGCCGAAGTAATGAGTTCTAAACTAAAAGCAAAAAAATTGTTGATCTCAGGTATTAAACGTTCAGGTGAAAAGAGAAAAAAATTCGCTCTCTTTTTCCACTCGAAAATTTATATTGTTTTTTTGTTCAGATGGGAAAGACCAAGGCCGTATTTAGGGGGACCACAAATTTCAAACTTGTGCCATATTAAAAAAAAATTCAACAAACTTTTATGCAAATTTCGAGCTTTTTTAAAAATTCTAAAAAATCAATCTTAATTTTTAGCCATTTGTACTTTAAGTATACCACTAGGATTCCATGGGCTACAAAACTGCATACTCAGAATCTTATTAAAAAATTCGAAATTTTGGCGAAAATTTGTTGATTTTTTTTTTTAATTGCATACATCTTTACGGCAGTGTCACTCGATTGGTACAGATTTTTTACATTTTTATATTGGGCAATTGGTAAAAAAATGGGATTTTTTTTTCTTTTTTTGTAGACAAAACTGTACTACTGTACATAAGTTGACTATGATTACTCGGGCGTGCTATCATTGTTGCACAATGCCACTAAGCGCATTTTAAAATGTTCAGGCAATAGCCTGCGATTATCGATTTAATTTTTTGTTGTTTGTGCGAAATATTTTATTTTTATTAGTATTTTTCAATTAATCGAAATATGTTGAAATATAAGTGAAAAAAAAAAATAAATACAAAAATTTCCAGAACATTAACGCGAACATATCCCGGGATTTTCGGGACGTCAAAAACACCGGGATTGGTGTCCCTAATACACACTTGGATACACTTGTACCATATATGATGCTAAAATACATTTGCTCCATATTTGCTTGAAATTAGTTTTCTTTAATCTCATTCCAAGCGTACTCGTTAGACTCGCACACATTCAAACTCACTTTGATAAATACATATGTATGTATATAAGTCTATAGGGATGTACTAGTTAAGCCATTTTAAAATCGCTTGCAATAAAAGAGGTAATCAATTCGTTAGGCCCTGGAAACCCTGCTTGAACTATAAACTATAGGCAAGTTATAATGCTATCAGACTAAACGCGTTTATCAAGTGGAGCGATGATAAGCACGGACACAGTTAAATTCTGGAAGATCTTGCAGAAGACTTCAGGCGCCTGGACTACACAATCGCCCCCACTGGACTGAGGAATAATCTCCAAACAAGTAACGGGAGGAGGATTCTCTGCTCAGCGCCTACTCATCAGCAGCCATACATATATACCGATGGCTCTAAGTTAGAAGTGAAGATATGGAGTTCTGTCTATTTGCAAGAGCTCTATCTTACCCCCAGTTTGCATCCGAAAGACTTCTGCGGCGTTTTCAATGATTAAATAAATTTTCAATTGACCTTGATATAGAATATCAACCCATAATGGCCAAAGATGTAAGCGGACGCTTTTTCGAAATTTTATTTTTGATGCAGAAATACTTCTAAAGCATCTGCAACAGAAATAAAATTTTGAAAAAAAATTTCAGGTTAGGGCTCGATGTATGGATAGAAGAAATTTTTCTTTTAAACCATAACCAATTTAAAAGAAGTTGCTACATAATTTCAATTTTCTATGCGCTCACATTATTAATTGAAGAGGGTATTTCTACTACGCTCTTAGATTCTATTACCAGCACAACGACGGAATTCGCTTCTTCGCGTTACCGATGGCGCTTTTGTCTATATCTAACATTTTTTCATTTCATTCACCATTCGAGAAAATTTACCCCTCACTACTTACATAAATGCAAAAGTTGTATGGCTAATAGCTTTTATGTTCGAGCATAGCTTCTACTTAGTACACATACATATATGAACGTAAATACATATGTTGTATGTACGTGCATATGTATGTAGGTATGAATATATGTATGCGCTTAGATAAGAGTTTATGCGTTTAACTTACTGCCATAGAACATAAGTGCCTGTATATATGTATGTACGTATGGGCTTGCGCGTGTCGTATATGGTGATGAAAATTGAAATTAGTTAAACGAATGTGGGTGTTAACGCTGAACGATGCCAACATTTACTCGTTTAACTGTGCTCACACATATGTTACGCTGGCTGCAAGCGAGCACCGGAAAGTTTATGGTCTCGCAAATGGGTAAAAATCAGGCAGCAGGCGGACATAAATGACTCAAAATTACTGTGGCGACGTAGGCTGACTAGA